CGTTTTTCTGGACGAGCGCGGGTAAAGAAGCTAGTCCAAGACTGTAGGTTTAGGATAGCCACTTGGAACATAGGAATCTTAACTGGTAGGACGATGGAATTGGTAGATGTTATGATTAGGAGGAGAGTTAGTATAGCTTGCATACAAGAAACTAAGTGGACGGGAGAGAAAGCTAGGGAAATTGAGGATACTGGTTTTAAACTTTATTATAGTGGTAAGGATAGACGCAGGAATGGGGTAGGAATCATAATTGCCAAGGGTCTTATGAAAAGTGTGGTGGCGGTCACTAGGAAAGGAGATAGGATTATGCTAGTTAAACTAGTTATTGGAGGGAATATAGTGAACATTATTAGCGCTTACGCCCCTCAAGTAGGGTTAGATGATCAGACTAAGAGGGTTTTTTGGGAGCAAATGGATGAGATCTTACAGGAGATACCCGTAGGAGAGAACCTGGTTATAGGTGGAGATTTTAATGGCCATGTGGGCATAGATAAAGTAGGTTATGAAAGGGTGCATGGTAGATACGGTTTTGGTGACAAAAATGAGGCTGGAGAGAGAATCTTAGATTTTGTGTTGGCTTTTAACCTGGTGGTGGCCAATACTATGTATAAGAAGAGGGAGGAGCATTTGATAACCTTTAAGAGTGGATTAGTGAAAAGCCAAATAGACTATTTCTTAGTAAGAAATGTGGACTGCCTAAAATGCAATGATTGTAAGGTGATTTCTGGTGAGGGTCTGGTCTCTCAACATAGGATTTTGGTACTAGATTTATGTTTTAGAGGGCAATACCAAGTTAGGAAGGATGGTGGGCGTCGTAGGACAAGATGGTGGGACTTAAAAGGGGATAAACTAGAAATATTTAAGAATCGAATGGATAAGGAAGGTACTTGGGACTTAGAAGGTGATGCTAACACTATGTGAAATTCGATGGCCAATTGTATGAGGAGAATCTCAAGGGAAGTGCTTGGAGAGTCGAAGGGAACGGGACCCAGCTCTAGGGAAACTTGGTGGTGGAGGGAAGAGGTCCAAGCGGTAGTTAAGGCAAAAAAAGAGTGCTTTAAAAAGTGGCAGAAGGATAGAACTGAGAAAAACCTTAAGAGTTATAGATTGGCTAATAAGGAGGTCAAGAAAGTAGTGAGAGAGACTAAGTTGAAAGTTTATGATGACCTATACACTAGACTAGTTAGTAAGGAGGGAGAGAAGAGGGTATACAAACTTGCTAAGATACGGGAGAGGAAAACAAGAGATTTTAATCAAGTAAAGTGCATCAAGAGTGAAGATTCTAAGGTATTGGTGGAGGATGATGAGATTAAGGAAAGATGGAAGAATTATTTTGAGAAATTGTTAAATGAGGAACATGGAAGTACGACAATAGGGGAAGAAATAATCAGTAATACGATAAATCAAGACTATAGGTTTTATCGCAGGATTAGGAACTTTGAAGTAGAGATTGCACTTAAGAAGATGAAATCAAAAAAGGCTTTAGGACCTGATGATATCCCTATTGAAGTTTGGAAGTGTTTGGGTAAAAAGGGAGTTGCTTGGTTGACTAGGTTGTTTAGCAAAATTTTGTTGACTAGGAACATGCCAGATGAGTGGAGGAAGAGTATATTAGTGCCAATCTATAAGAATAAAGGTGATGTCCAGAATTGTAACAACTATAGAGGAATTAAGCTAATGTGTCATATAATTAAAGTGTGGGAGAGGGTGATGGAACGTCGATTGCAAGACATAACAGAGGTGTCAGAAAATCAATTTGGGTTTATGCCTGGTAGGTCAACAATGGAAGCAATCTATCTTTTGAGGAGAGTTATAGAAAAGTATAAAGAAAAGAAAAGAGACATTCATATGGTGTTTATCGACCTTGAGAAAGCATATGACAGAGTACCCCGAGATATAATATGGTGGGCGTTAGAGAAGAAAGGGGTTACAAAAGGCTACATTGACGTGATTAGGGACATGTATGAAGGGGTGGTGACCACTATTAGATCGCCAGCTGGAGAAACAAATGAATTTCCTATCACTGTAGGGTTACACCAAGGATCTACCTTAAGTCCTTATCTTTTTGCTTTAGTTATGGACGAGTTGGCGATAAATATTCAGGATGACGTGCCATGGTGTATGCTTTTTGCAGACGATATTGTGTTAGTGGATGAGACTAAAGAAGGAGTTAACACAAAGTTGGAGATTTGGAGAAAAACTCTTGAATCTAAAGGATTTCGGAAAAGCAGAACCAAGACAGAGTACATGGAGTGTAAATTTAGTAACAGTAACAATGAAAGGAGAGGAGAAGTGAAGATTGAGAACCAAGAACTGCCTAAGAGTGAACATTTTCGTTATTTAGGGTCAATTATCACAACAGCGGGAGAGATTGATGCAGATGTGGCCAATAGGATTAAGGCGGGATGGTATAAGTGGAGAAGTGCGTCTGGGGTATTGTGTGATAAACGAATACCCACTAGACTAAAAGGTAAGTTCTATAGAACGGCTATTAGACCAGCTATGTTGTATGAGACGGAGTGTTGGGCAACCAAGAAACAACATGTAGATAAGATGAGTGTGGCTGAGATGAGGATGCTAAGGTGGATGTGTGGTAAGACTAGACAAGATAGGATTAGGAATGAGTGTATTCGGGAATAGGTAGGAGTAGCACCGATAGAAGATAAGTTGAGAGAGAATCGTTTGAGATGGTTTGGTCATATTCAACGGAGGCCAACAGAGGCAGTAGTGAAGAGATGCGATGCTGTAACGATAGATGGAAGTGTTAGGGGACGGGGTAGGCCTAGATTAACGTTGACTAGCGTTATAAATAGAGATATGAATCTACTTAATTTGACTAATGAAATGGCCTTTGATAGGGCCGCGTGGGGAAGAAGGATTCATGTAGCCGACCCCATTTGATAGGACTTAAGGCTTGGTTTGGTTTGGTTTGGTTTATTAGGACCTTTGATAGAAAATGACCGCATCCTCTCAACATGCCCATTTTAAAATGAGAAAACAAACAAAAATTAATTACACCGGTCATTCCTGTGGTTTACAATGTATTAATTTGGTTTGTGTAGTTTATTTGTAGAAAGTAACAAATTTGCCCCAATAAAAATTTTGAAAATAGTTCGAATTGAAAATAATTATGAGGATTTTTTTACAAAAATAATTAGCACGTGCAGCTCATGTGACCAATCTAGAGGGGTATAACAGAGATAATGGTAGCACTCATTACTAGACATACTCAAAGAGAGAGAGAAAGATGGCACAGAGTTGTGTGAGGGTTGTCATATTAGAGTAAGAAAGGATAGAAGATGGGGAGAAAAAAAGGGATACAAGGAAGGAATAAATGAGAGAAAGAGAGGTGGTTGTAGTGGTGCTCACCGTTGTTGTGATCAACCAAAGTAAGAGAGGTTAGTCAGTGGTAGGTCTTGGATGAAAAAATGTATTGATTTCTCTATTATGCCTCTCCAGAGAAGCCACTCCCTTCCTTCTAGCCATCCTTCTCCCTCCAACGACCACCCCTCTCTAGCAACTCACCAAACATGTTTTCTTGTTCTTTAAAAAATGGGTGTATCTAACATGTAATCTGTCTTTGCTTTTGGAAAAAACAAAACAAAAACATGTTTCCTATTTTATGTTAATTGGAAGCTTTACCAAACGCGACCTTAGTGTACTAATTTTGTGTACATGATTGTTGTTATGGAATGAAATGAATTGGAATGACTGTCAGGGTGTTTTGTATGAAAGATCTAACCAGTTCAAGTTGAATATTCTAAGTTGTCAGTAGTGCCTAAATCTATTGTAAGGATAACAAAATTGTTTGGGTGAATTCTTCAGCCAAGTAAGAGAATAGAAGATGCTAAGCTTGCAAGAGATTTTCAAACTACCTTGCAAGAATTCCAGAAAATTCAACAGCTCGCCTCTGAGCGCGAGTCTACATACTCACCCTTTGCCCAACCATCTACTATGAGCACAACGTATGCAATCACATGCTTTTCTTTTATAATCCTCAACTTCTGTTTCCTAAGTTTATAATCTTGTTAATATTACCAGTAATTCTTACAGAGTTGTGCAATTGGATGCAGCACTAGCTCAGTTGAATATCCAGCACCTACAATGGACCAGGAGAACCAGCCATTTCTCATGGAACAGAAAAGGTGGGCACGTTAAATATTAGAGTCACTTTTATAGTATTTTTATCATATTCAATTTTCTTGTTAACAAAAATTTGTCGTCGTTTCATCTCTGCAGTAGACTACATATACTGGTGGAATGCTGTTTCAACATTTTGTAGTATTGTTGTTAAAATGAGTTGAATTGTGAGGAATTGAGTCTTCATGTGTCAGCACCTTTCAGGGCATCATTCTCTAACTGGAGGATTGGGGTACCTTGTTTTTGCTTTGAAGTTTTTTTTATTGTCTCATTTAGGAAATTAGGATGAATTGGATAGTTGGATATACAAAGCCTATTGCTGGCTAAAAAGAGCTGTAGATCACCTGTAAAGATCCTCCAGATGATTGGGGAGTAATTGGTAACTGCTGACCTATGTTATATGAACTTTTCTAAATTAGTGAAGTATCTGTGTTGTTGGACACTCGACACTAGAGCTAAGGTATGAGATATGTGTCTATCATGCTTAGTTGGACATGCACCCATCAATTATGCTTAAGCAGTTGGGCTAACTATATAGGTATAATATTGTTCTATGTTAGTTTGAAAATACCATTTTACCCTAAAAAATAAAAGAAGTATTTAAGGAAAATGAATTCTATGATTCTAGCCATTTCCTTGTGCCTTAGACATGAGAATAGGATGAATCTTACGCTTAACCACATACCTGCACCCAACATTCGCTCAGGGTCCATGTAACATAGCTTTTAACCTTCTATGCCTTAGAAAATGATATAGGCACAATAATGGGTTGCTGGTGACTGACCTCTAAAATTTGATGACAACTTGTAGATTATTTAACCAACTTTGGGTGTTGACATTGTCCCAATACACAAAGTAACTATGAAAACATTGAGTGGGAACCACGCAAGAAAAGATGAACATAGTGATTCTGTTTTCAAATTTTTGGAGGGGAATAGTCTGTTTGTTGTTTTCAAGTCTAACTTCTGGAACAGAGCCAATTCCAATGCTAGTGAAAACACTGAGTGGGAACCAACTTTGGGTGTTGACATTGTCCCAATACACAAAGTAACTATGAAAACATTGAGTGGGAACCACGCTAGAAAAGATGAACATAGTGATTCTGTTTTCAAATTTTTGGAGGGGAATAAGTCTGTTTGTTGTTTTCAAGTCTAACTTCTGGAATAGAGCCAATTCCAAGGCTAGTGAAAGGATGAGGGTTAATTAAATATACAATTACAATCAATTCCTTGTCCAAGATCAAAATGAATCTTGAGGATTAACAGTATTATGCTGTAAATTTCCTTCAAAGCGATTTGGCACCTCATTGAATAACTGCAGATTTTCCTCATCTGCAAGTGGTGGGAAGCAATGTGCTGATTTTTAGCTAATGCACCTTTATCAGATGGGAATCCAATGTCTCCATATCTAAACCTTCTTTATGCTGATCTTATGGGTGTTTGCTTTCCTTGGAGCTGGGCTCAAATTCCTGCCTGACTCGTGTTTACAGGACAAGAGAAAGGAAGAAAGCACTCTAGTATCAGAAATTTCCTCTAGTCTTTGCTAACAGCTCTTCTACATGTTGTTGCAATAAATTTTGGCTTGAAAGGTTGACAATGGTGTGAATAGGAAATTGAAAGAACAAGAGAATAGCTCGAGAAGTTCCATTTTTCAGTCTGTGAGCAACTACATACGTGGACAGGGATAATTTTGAGAGCTTTCCTTCTATAATAAAAATGAAAATTACAATATTGAATCCAATCTTGGTAAAATCTTTCAAGATAATGAAACTCTACAATTATCTGAAAGGTTATGGATTATCTAATACACTTTCCAATGAGGATTCTTGGAGTTCAACCTAGGAGACTGTGATGCATGTTTGTACATGCCCATCAGGGGAAGAATTATTACTCTGTTAGTGGTTACAAATGGCTTATGAGCCTGACCGTGTTGATTGTGTTGTTTCTATGCATTTTGCATCCCAATTAAGCAAATATGTATTTTCTGTTCCAAAATGTATATTTGCTCTTTCAAGACTTGCATGTGTGGATATCTAAGGGTCTCTTAGTTGGATTGGACACCTAATAAGTATTTGGATATCACCACACACTGGTTTCTCATTATTTGTTTAGGAGAAGCTTGATAGAACCTTTGTCCACAACAAATATCCTTGATGTCAAAAATATGCAGGCAAGAGTTATTACTGCTGGGAAATGAAATTGCATTCAATGAGGCCATCATGGAGGAAAGGGATCAGGGTATTATAGACATACAAGATCAAATTGGTCAAGCAAATGAAATATTTAAGGACTTAGCTGTTCTAGTTCATGAGCAGGGTGTTGTTATTGGTAAGATATGAAATACCCACAAGAATGCATTCCAGTTCTCTTTCTTGTGCTTTTATTTTGCCTTTTTGAAAATCGTTTCATTTTAACAGATGACATTCACTCAAACATTGAGGCTTCCTCTGCTGCATCAACCCAGGCTAGAGTACAGCTATCTAAAGCTTCCAAAACTGTCAAATCTAAATGTTCATGGGTGAGTAATATTATACTTGCACTCATTTAAGCTTATACATGAAATATTTATTACTTACTACCCACGGATGCAGTGTGTTGGTTTTTATAATTAAAACAAACAAATTGATAGCCCAAAAAAGTGGATGAAATATCATGCTTTTATTTCTGAAGATAGAATCCTACAATGGCGCAAGATATGTTGGTTGTTTATGTGAAAGTATTTCTCAGTGAGAAATGATCAAGTTATATGTAATAGTGGGATGTTTATATAAAAAAGGATAAATAAAGACCACTGATAAGGAGAGAAATGGTGGAACCAAAATATAAACACAGATTTTTGATCTTGTGCTACAATTAATGTATCTGGGAGTGGAAAATTTGGTGTTCATTATGTGTGACTCTTTAGGTTGGTTGGTTTTTCCTGTTTTTGTTTTTAAATAATCAACTAAGAAGACAGAATGCCTGATAATACTAATGGCAAATTGTTTGATTAATTTCTCAAATGATTTTAGTTCACTTTTTATTCTGTGTCATATTTATGTTAAAATTTTTGTATTTCATTTTGATTATGTTGTACCTTTGTAATAACAGTGTTGGTGGGTGCTGGCAATTTTCGTAGTGGTGTTGGTGATCGTGTTCATTGTCTTTATCATATAGCATGCGAGTACAAGTCTGCAGCTGTAGTGTGAGATTTGTAGATGAAACGTGTAGTGGTGCCTATCCTTTCTAATTGGTATCCGTGTGTTGAATCTTCATGTTCTCTGTTGAAAAGAGAAATTAAAAATAAAACCGGAAAAGAGGGGAAAAGTGTGATGGATTTTAATTTATTTTAAGAAACATGTGTTGGAGTGGATGTTTTCTTTTTGCAGAGCCGGCCCTTTGTCGTGCTGTCCTGAGCATGAACAAATAGTGCATCTGATGTATATTTTATGTTTGTTTTGGGTTTGATTGTCATAATTGGTGTGATTGGAACCAGCTCCTATTGTTCTCCGATTTGTGATTTGTGATTTGTGATTTATGAAGAGAATGTATTGCTTAGACTGCCAATGTATTTATATTGTTTGTAAGATTTTTGCTCCTTAGTCTATTGTTCTCGGCCAATTGTATGGTCACACCCCTCTCCCTCTTTAAAAATGTGTACATGTTTTTTAGTTGTCTCAAAATAGACGTGGTTATGAATCAAAGTGTTGTTATGACTTACAGTAGAGATCTAATCAAGTGAAGTCTGTCTATTTTCTAAATCGATGTGGAACCAACTTTGGTAATGAGAATAAGTGGTGTTTGATTATGAGATAAAAGTAATATAAATAAAAATAAAAAATAAAAAAATTCAGTGTTGGTTATAGTTTAAGGGGTTATGAATATTAATGTGGATTTGTCTATTTAGATTCAATGACCAAAAGTTTGGATTCATCCATTTAGATTCAACTACGTTTATTTTTTGAGAAAGAACAGCTAGAGATTTGGATGTACATGGTATGATCTTTTTGGAGTGTATAGTAAATCTTTTTCATTGTTCTCAGATTTTTTTATTTTTTGTTCTTTTTTTCTGTTTTGGCAGAACAAAATTATAGTTCAGCGTCTAGACTATGTTGATCCCCACATCATCGTAATTTAAGCCCACTACAAATTTGAAAAATATCAAATAAATTTTACTTTTTTAATGAAATTTCTATTGAGTTCTATTAAATCTCACCTTACCTTTTCTTTTCTTTTCCTTTCTTTTTTATGTTACTCCAGATCTCACTTTAATGTTTTGATCCAAATAGACTTAGCCTCCATTTGGGAAGTGGGTTGGCTTTTTAATTTTTTGGCTATTTTAGTCTGGTTTGGGAATAGTTTTTTGACTTTTTAACTTTTTGGCTTTTTTAGCTTTTTTTTGTGAGAGAGGATTGTAATAATTATGGGTTGGATTTGATGTTTTGTTTTTTGTGGTTAAAATAGCCTGTTTTGTTTTTTAAGGCTATTTTAGCCAAAAAAATCTGACTTTTTTCTTCCCAAACGGAGCCTTAGATAACAGGTGGCAATATCAACTATTACACCTATAATTAAGTGGTGTTTTGACAAATTGGTAAAAAATTAATTTTTTTTGATTTTTTTGACAAAAAATTAAATTCTTTTGAATAAAAAAATTGACTTTTTTAATTAAAAAAATTAAAAAAATCAAAAAATTGATATTTTTAACTTCTTTCCAAAGTGCCTTTATGATTATTTAGAGAGATTAAAAGTGGGATAGAATTGCGAATCCCTATATATGGAGGAATTATTCCATCCAAACAGCCTATAGTTGCTTTTACAGGATATTTTCTCAAATGTGTTATTTTTTAGGTACACAAAAACTACTTAAGCTTCTTTTAACAATTAAATTAAAAGTTAATTTATTAATTTTTTTGAATTTTTTAAATCACATTTTCTTTTTCTTTTTTATACGCTTTTATAAGAAAATGTCAAAAAAAAAAAAAAAATTAACCTGTTTTCTAAAATTTAAGTTTCGTGATGGAGTGGGCAAGTCACATAATTATTTTTCTAGTATATATTTCATTAACAAAAATGAATGCTATGGCTTTGGTTAAATTAAGTTATGAAATGTCAAAGGGTGACTTAAGCTTTAATTCGAGTATTAAAATTGAAATTTTTAAACATCAATTAGTATATGAATATATGTTATAATATTATTATTTGAAAATAATACAACTCATTCATTATATAAATTATAAGATTTAAAATTTTTAAAATTATGTTATATTATATAATGTTAATAGACTAATTAATATATTAATTAATTTCCATAACGTTATTCATTTTGCATCTGAGATGGGCCCTTTCTAATGATTTTGGTTTTTTGGGTTTTTTATTTATTATTTTTAGATTGATTTATATTATAATGATTTTATTTTGGTTTGGTTCGGTTTGGTTTGGTCTTGCCTTAGAGTTCCACACTCTGAATTCCGCCATTGTTGCATCATCCTCCTAGTATAATCAACGACGACGATGTTGCAAATCTCATCCTCCTCCTCCACCTCCACCTCCACCTCCTCCTCAACTTGGAACTAGAACCAACACCACTGCCACAGCACCCTTCGATCAACCTGTGTCTGTCTGTCTGAGAAGAAGAAAAACGGGAGGGGAAATAAAAAGAAGAAGAAGAAGAAGAGAGAAGTAGTTGTAATTTTGTGGTAGAAATGGCTGCCCTAATCTATCAGATATTCTCATCGTCAGCTCTGATATCCATGGACACTTCTAAAATTTGATGACAACTTGTAGATTATTTAACCAACTTTGGGTGTTGGCATTGTCCCAATACACAAAGTAACTATGAAAACATTGAGTGGGAACCACGCAAGAAAAGATGAACATAGTGATTCTGTTTTAAAATTTTTGGAGGGGAATAAGTCTGTTTGTTGTTTTCAAGTCTAACTTCTGGAATAGAGCCAATTCCAATGCTAGTGAAAACACTGAGTGGGAACCAACTTTGGGTGTTGACATTGTCCCAATACACAAAGTAACTATGAAAACATTGAGTGGGAACCACGCTAGAAAAGATGAACATAGTGATTCTGTTTTCAAATTTTTGGAGGGGAATAAGTCTGTTTGTTGTTTTCAAGTCTAACTTCTGGAATAGAGCCAATTCCAAGGCTAGTGAAAGGATGAGGGTTAATTAAATATACAATTACAATCAATTCCTTGTCCAAGATCAAAATGAATCTTGAGGATTAACAGTATTATGCTGTAAATTTCCTTCAAAGCGATTTGGCACCTCATTGAATAACTGCAGATTTTCCTCATCTGCAAGTGGTGGGAAGCAATGTGCTGATTTTTAGCTAATGCACCTTTATCAGATGGGAATCCAATGTCTCCATATCTAAACCTTCTTTATGCTGATCTTATGGGTGTTTGCTTTCCTTGGAGCTGGGCTCAAATTCCTGCCTGACTCGTGTTTACAGGACAAGAGAAAGGAAGAAAGCACTCTAGTATCAGAAATTTCCTCTAGTCTTTGCTAACAGCTCTTCTACATGTTGTTGCAATAAATTTTGGCTTGAAAGGTTGACAATGGTGTGAATAGGAAATTGAAAGAACAAGAGAATAGCTCGAGAAGTTCCATTTTTCAGTCTGTGAGCAACTACATACGTGGACAGGGATAATTTTGAGAGCTTTCCTTCTATAATAAAAATGAAAATTACAATATTGAATCCAATCTTGGTAAAATCTTTCAAGATAATGAAACTCTACAATTATCTGAAAGGTTATGGATTATCTAATACACTTTCCAATGAGGATTCTTGGAGTTCAACCTAGGAGACTGTGATGCATGTTTGTACATGCCCATCAGGGGAAGAATTATTACTCTGTTAGTGGTTACAAATGGCTTATGAGCCTGACCGTGTTGATTGTGTTGTTTCTATGCATTTTGCATCCCAATTAAGCAAATATGTATTTTCTGTTCCAAAATGTATATTTGCTCTTTCAAGACTTGCATGTGTGGATATCTAAGGGTCTCTTAGTTGGATTGGACACCTAATAAGTATTTGGATATCACCACACACTGGTTTCTCATTATTTGTTTAGGAGAAGCTTGATAGAACCTTTGTCCACAACAAATATCCTTGATGTCAAAAATATGCAGGCAAGAGTTATTACTGCTGGGAAACGAAATTGCATTCAATGAGGCCATCATGGAGGAAAGGGATCAGGGTATTATAGACATACAAGATCAAATTGGTCAAGCAAATGAAATATTTAAGGACTTAGCTGTTCTAGTTCATGAGCAGGGTGTTGTTATTGGTAAGATATGAAATACCCACAAGAATGCATTCCAGTTCTCTTTCTTGTGCTTTTATTTTGCCTTTTTGAAAATCGTTTCATTTTAACAGATGACATTCACTCAAACATTGAGGCTTCCTCTGCTGCATCAACCCAGGCTAGAGTACAGCTATCTAAAGCTTCCAAAACTGTCAAATCTAAATGTTCGTGGGTGAGTAATATTATACTTGCACTCATTTAAGCTTATACATGAAATATTTATTACTTACTACCCACGGATGCAGTGTGTTGGTTTTTATAATTAAAACAAACAAATTGATAGCCCAAAAAAGTGGATGAAATATCATGCTTTTATTTCTGAAGATAGAATCCTACAACGGCGCAAGCTATGTTGGTTGTTTATGTGAAAGTATTTGTCAGTGAGAAATGATCAAGTTATATGTAAAAGTGGGATGTTTATATAAAAAAGGATAAATAAAGCCAAAGACCACTGATAAGGAGAGAAATGGTGGAACCAAAATATAAACACAGATTTTTGATCTTGTGCTACAATTAATGTATCTGGGAGTGGAAAATTTGGTGTTCATTATGTGTGACTCTTTAGGTTGGTTGGTTTTTCCTGTTTTTGTTTTTAAATAATCAACTAAGAAGACAGAATGCCTGATAATACTAATGGCAAATTGTTTGGTTAATTTCTCAAATGATTTTAGTTCACTTTTTATTCTCTATCATATTTATGTTAAAATTTTTGTATTTCATTTTGATTATGTTGTACCTTTGTAATAACAGTGTTGGTGGGTGCTGGCAATTTTCGTAGTGGTGTTGGTGATCGTGTTCATTGTCTTTATCATATAGCATGCGAGTACAAGTCTGCAGCTGTAGTGTGAGATTTGTAGATGAAACGTGTAGTGGTGCCTATCCTTTCTAATTGGTATCCGTGTGTTGAATCTTCATGTTCTCTGTTGAAAAGAGAAATTAAAAATAAAACCGGAAAAGAGGGGAAAAGTGTGATGGATTTTAATTTATTTTAAGAAACATGTGTTGGAGTGGATGTTTTCTTTTTGCAGAGCCGGCCCTTTGTCGTGCTGTCCTGAGCATGAACAAATAGTGCATCTGATGTATATTTTATGTTTGTTTTGGGTTTGATTGTCATAATTGGTGTGATTGGAACCAGCTCCTATTGTTCTCCGATTTGTGATTTGTGATTTGTGATTTGTGAT